AGCATGGCTTTTGGTGAGAATGATGGCAACTAGGCCTGGCCAGGAGCTGCACAGAGCCCACCACTGAGTTTTATCTGGTCCCTGGCAATGATGCCCAGGCAGCAGGTCAACAACACGAGGGTTGTTGCTTGCATATGCTGAGGGCAAGAAGATGCTGGCCTACACTGTTAGGACTTACTAAGACATATACAGCATCACACAGCGCAGTTGTTTTAACTATCCCCTGAACCAGCTCAGACTAAAAGCAGCTGTCAAATACACAAATAGTACCTTCTGCAGACTAATCAAGTTTGAATTGGTAGTCTCTACTCATCAGGAAAGGAAACCCACCTCCTGAATCCCAGCATAGTGCTCCTTCCATATATGCATTTGCCAAAGTCTTCATACATTTGTGTGCATAATATGTACATGAGAGTACAGCCTCTAGGCTCCATGTATATACCAAGGACCTTTGGAAGTGGTACTTGAAGATTCCAGTTGTAGTTACACCAGCAATAGACCCACAACAAAATTGCAGTGGCTCGAAACACAATTTTGTGTCTAGCACAGCAGCATTACATTCAGCAATCTCAGTGCTGCAGAAAAGTCTCTACACTGAAATCCAGGCCTATGACCATGAGCCTCTGTAAAATACCCTAGTATTTCTAATTCCGTAGATGGGAAGACTGAGAGGTAATGACATAAAGTGAGCTATATGATGTCAAACTGACTTTGCTTCTGAGCCCAGATGTAATACCTAGGTACCTGAATTTGACATCTACATGAGTGAAAGAGAAAGTCTGTAGTCAGACATTGAGAAACAATAACAGCATCAAGTCCAAGCAGCTTAGGACTGGAACATTATAGGTATAGGTATTAAAGCTACAACCTCCACTAGCCACTTCCCCATAAAGAATATGTATTTTAAGTGTACATGGAGTCTCTCACAAATACGATAGAGAATTTTCTCCTACAGTCATGCTTATTACACATTAAACTGGAGCAATGCTGATTAACAGCAGGACTGCACAGATGCCTGCACCTACATTCACCTGAATGGACTGGGGTTTCTTTTCAGAATAGGCAAGTGAAATCTATTCCCTGTTCAAGGAATCACACATTAAACACATGCATCCTTTCTCAACACACTGAACTTATCCACCTTTCATTGCTGTCTTACTAGCACTTACACAGACTGGCAAGATTGCAGGGGGTAAGAGAAGGACCTAGCACACAGGTGTGCTTTTCTGAAATGGTATTGTGGGAAGATTGGTTGGGATGGAAAAACAGGAAATCAGATATTGAGGAAATAAATGAACTAAAAACACCTATTGTTGTAACAGTAATTTGAAGTTCCTTCTGGCCTATAAACAAAGTTTTCTGTCACACTGGGAACTATAGTTTCCCTTGAGAACCCAGTGCAGAAAGAAACTTCCTATAAGAAAGTCCAATGATTTTCCCCATGAGAAGATAAGGGCTCTTCACTTCTACCTTATCAAAAGAAAAAATAGGTGTTGTCAATCCTTTAACCTCCCTGTAATCAATTAAAATGCAGGAATCTATCTCCAGTAATGTCTTGTTCTACTTTAGACAAATTACTTCCCTATTCCACTCTTCCTCTTAACCCAAGATCCACTTCATTCATAGGGCTGAAACCAAACCCCAATTCCAAACACACTCCAGCCACTGCCAGCTTTAAAGACTGATTCTGAAAGACATGAAGCAATCTTACAGCAGACACAGAACACAAGGTTCTTTCAAAGAAAAAAAAATCCCCTTTCCCTTCATCTGTGCTTATTAGAGCTCTAGAGGCTTAAATGAAAGTCTTATTGCACCTGCAGCTTTGCTGGAGAAACACACCCTCCTTCACACTGCTCCCGAATCCAGGCCAACAACAGAAAAGAAGTAAGATTTCGTCTTGAAAACAATGAGGCTACAGGTGTGAGGGAGGTCATCAACCAAAGACAGTGCAGTTCACAAGTGAAAACGAGGCCAGAACTCAGCCTGAGCTCTTTATGGTGATGGTAGATGAGGGCTGGCTTTACATTTCCCAGGCAGATTAGTGCAAAACTGAGGTCTGACAAAACCCCAAACCTGGTGTCTTTTTATTCATAAACCAAGTAAATTTGCTCTAGAAAGCATAAAGATACAAACACAGAGGGCTTCAGTGCTGTTTTAAGAGTCCAGTTTTCAGCAGAATGGCTCATGAAGTATATTAAACATTCTTTAGGGGTTTTTTTATTCTGTGTTAGGATATCATTAATGTTCCTTTGTTTTATTACCATGGAGGGATATTCCCAGTATATGTGCCAGACAGGGATACCACACACTTCCATATCATCTTTATCTGAAACTGTTTCTTTGCTGAATGTGAGCCCTACAGATAGGAAAGGGTAGAACCACAATACAGTGCTCTTTAAACACTGCATGGTTATTTTTTTTTCCTAAGTGTGCCATTACTAAGTGTTATGACCTTCTATGTAAAGACATTTACACTAGAAAGCCAAGACTACAGCATCCTGCAAATTTACATAAATAACAATTGGCCATGAGAGTTTCTTTTCACCTATTCCATAGAGGGGAACTTCCTGAGAAGAGCCAGAAAAGGTGGAGATCACTTTAAAATGCCTCTCTCTGTCGTTTCCAAATTTCAGCTAGGCCAAAATCTCACTTGAAGTGAGCTGAAGTAGAAGCTTTTGTGTGTGTATGGAACCGTATCCAGCTGGGAGAGCAGTTAAATGCTTGCCCGTCCCCTTAACTCTGGGCATGTAAATTCAAGACGAAGAGAGCTGTTTTGACGTTCTTGGCTGGAAATCACTCTCCACACCTATACTTTAATGCATCTCCTGTACGTGGTAGTTTGGCTGCTTTCTCTCACTACCATCTGTTCTGATGGCACAGTGCCTGCTCACAAGTTGAATGATATATAGGTGCCAGGCAACAATGCGTTTTGATGGGCAGGCTGCACAGCACTGCAGTTGTCATCTCTTGTGCATGAAGGCCACTCTCCGTGCCAGCAATGAAACATTGGCACTTGGTACCTCCATACACTTGTTCACACCTGTTGACACTTATGTGCCAGGAAAGGAGCACTTGAACAAGGGAGTTTGCAGGCTTGCATTACCTGCACATATATGCAGTCCCTGGCTCAATCATCATCCCGTGCCTCAAGCACATGCTGGGTCACAGCCCGGAATACTTCTGTGGGTCTTCACCTTAATACTTTCCTAGAGCTCTGGGTCTGAAGGGAAGAAGCAGCTAGCTGCTCATAGAGATGAAAACTTGCTGGACCAGGCAAGTCCTTTGTCCCATCCAGACATTTAAGTCCAAGTCTATGCAAACCTTACACTTCTCTCATGTCCCAGCTAAAGGCCCCATTTTAACAACACAAGGTCTTCCACAAGCACTCCAAGCTTTCCACAGGTCCATGCCAGCTTCACTTCTCCTTCTCACATTTCCATAGCCAGGTGGATTCCCACTCCAAAGTTCACCTATAAACTGTATTTTTCGGAGTTCAAAGCAATCTTTCTTCACTGACAAGATTTAACCACATCCACCCATCTTTCAACTCAAGTAAAGCTTATTCTTGTAGCTTCTAAGGTAGCAATGATTTATATAGAGGGAAAAGTATGTCAAGAACTGAAACAAGACATCACAGATGAGTTTTTAAAAGCAGCATATTTCGAGGAAGGGAGAGTTTGCAATCCCTGCATTGGGTGTATGCAGAATTTCAGTGGGAACATTTGTTGGACATTGTTTTGGGTGAGGGTTTTGTCTCAGATGTATGTGCTCAAGACTATTAATACATTTTTAGTAGCTACTGAGTATCATAAGATTATGATGATCGTGATTTACAAGCCTGGCTTGTAGACACAGATGGAGAGACAGAAAGGCTGTAGAGCCCTCTCCAGCTTCTGTTGTGGTTATATGCACTTGGTCAGAGGGAGGAGCTTTGTTAAAGCCTCTGCTTCGCAGCGGTAGAGCCAGTATTTCCCTGAGCAAGGCTTAGGTTACGTGGGGGCTAACCAGCCATCTTGTACACCTCACACACACGCTTAGCAGGAAATAAGAGAGATGCAATCATGTGAGCTACTGCATATTTGCTGCAGCCGTTACCAGGTAGCTGCTATTTCATTTCTATGAAATATCATAACTATGTAAATAACTCAAGTAATAATTGTAAATGGATGACTGTACTAAGGGAGGTGGGGGCAGGAGCCATAACTGCGCAGCTGCTATGGCTGTGAAAATTCAACCTTAAGCAGCCTAAACATTCATTTTACAGTGTACACCACTGATTACTTAATTACATCTAAAATATAAGTCAGACTGACTAAAAACCCCAGGGAGTAAATTACAAACAGCTATGAAGCAATGTGCATGCATACACCCTACTTTGACTTTAAAAAAATCATTGTTTTCCAATGGGGATGAAGGATTTTTCTATTTCTGTTCTGGAAAACATCGTTATGTTACAAACAGGTAAATATTTCTAAGTAATATTAGATGTGCGTGGGAACATCCATCTTCAGCCTTTCACTGTGGACTCTCACTAAAGGTTCTTATCTTTATGTATATTTGAACAAGAAGATCTACATATGCTTGATCTCGGTATGAACCTCTGTATGACCTGATTTTGTTGCCATGGCCACCAATTAGACCAGCCTTGTTGACTGCAGAACAACAGTCAAAGCATCTCTATTAAGTTCTGAAAAAGAATGTCATATTTTATCAGCACATTAGAACAGCTTATCCTCATGGCAGTGTTTGTTTCTTCCATTAGCTTTACATTTAAGCATTTAACTTAAAAGACAGGGATAAAAAAAGTGTGTTGGGAGGGGGAGAGTCGGAAGCAATGCCTGTGTCATTCACCAGAAGGTTCATGTTGGGGTTTTGGTTTTGTACTTTTCAATATCTGCTTCTATTTTCCAGGTTTTCCCTCTAAGAATATTGAGGACAGACAAAGACTGTGGTAGCATCTTTGCTTCATGAGAACATTGAGATTAGCAGAAAATCTTTCCTCCAGTTGCTTCTTTTGAGGATCCTCACGGAATTTTTTATAACAAACGCAGCTTTTTCAACCATTCTCCCTTCCAATTTGTGACAAACCAGGAAAAAGTTGCCTCTAACGCTCACTGGGCAAACACTTTAGCCAGCAGTAAGTGCGTGTGAAGGTACTGAATACTGTCACATGTACAAGACAGACAGTTTAATACCATCAATGCTGTATTTTGTTGATGCCTACCTGGAAAAAAAAAGAAGCAATCAACTTGTAATGTACTCAGTTTCCATCAAAACAAATAGAGAGGTTGGGGGATAGCAGAGTTCCACGACTAAATCTTTTCTTTCTCAGGCTTCCTCTTTAGAAAATAATTTTCTTAGTATTGTTTTCACAAAAGCTTTCAAATGCCTTAAAATAATGCAGAGAAATTGGCTTTTATTTTGAACAGGATTTCTCAATATGTACTGCATCTCTTGGCATATCTATTATATTAACTCAAGCCTTAATGATACAATGGTTAAAAACAGAGTACAGATGTGTATAAATGAAAAATGTAATAGATTTCCCTCTTAATGTAATAGAATTGGCACGAGGTATTGGAAACGGGAGTGAAAGTAGTCACTCAAGCATTGTGTTTGCATGTTATTTAAATACAAGTGGTTGAGGTATAAGTACCTCTAAGTACACCTGAAAGAGATGGTGCCTTGTAATCATTGTTTCAGCAATTGACAGTTGTTTACACAACAGCAGCACATTCTCTACTGATTTGAATAATAAACATGTTTAAACACCAGCTGGATAATAGAAGGATAATTGAAACATAGTTTAAAGCTCTGATTTACAGGCATTGTGGCAACACTTTTATTTGTGGTACAATGCTATACTTCTGTGCAGCCTCTTGAAAAAATTAAATAGGCATTGTTTCAAACAACTTTGGGATATATTTAACTCGATTAATCTATCGTGCATTTGTGTGCCCACAGGGACGGACAGACAGAATAAAGAACACACCATCAAATCTTCTAAAAGGCTTATAAACTGGTGTCCACACGCTACTTGTGCTGCTTAGCTGGCTGGGCCCTTGTGCATGTAATTCCCGAGTGTGAACCTGTAGTGTTTACAAAGTTTGTAAAGCCCACAGAGCACAAGAACCCAGATGGCTGCATAGTCATATTGCCAGGTAAATCAGAGATAAAAACAGGTAGAGAGAGAAGCAGAACTTCTTCAGTCATTATATGTGACAGGCTGCACGCAACAAAGGGACCATGAACATGCTGTGAGATTTGAGGTGCTGCCCACATCTCCTCCCTTCTTGTCTACACTAGAATTTGAACACTTCAGAGCTCACTGCTTGGGCTTGTTTTCTGAAATGAAAATTTAAAGAGAAACCCAGGCAGCCTGACTGCTCTTTTTCTTACAAACATCTCTGCAAATACTTTCTTCATGCAAAATCTACCTGCTGAGACGCCTGAGTGTGTGGCTGTAGATTGTCATCAGACCATATACTTTCTTAAACCCCAAGCATCAGATAATCCAAGGCAGCCTAGCTTTCATTTTTCATCCTGTTTCTGATCTCTTATCACCATTCTGAACCAAATTAATTCACTGACAAACACGGAGGTGTGGGCAGTTTTTCCATGCATGCACTTAGGTCCAGTTTTCTGCCTCTGACATTTTAGTCACAGCTACTGATATTGCTTGATCCCAACCTGTACAAAACCTACAACTTACTCAAGAAGATGACAGATACCATGACTGTCTTCTTTTACACACCAAGCCCTGTCAGTTCCTGCTGACTGACCCCTAAATTAAAGGCTTTCAAGAGACACATCAGCCCAGACACTGAGAAAAGCCTCAAAAGAAAGACCTTAACAGCAGCCCATATTTTCAGGTCCTTCATTCTTTACCAGGTGTGAATCATATATCAGGTACAGAGAGGAACGCAGTTTGCAGGACTTGATTATGTTTGTGATCATAGAATCACGGACTGGTTTGGATTGGAAAGGACCTTAAGATCATCCAGTTCCCACCTACCTACCATGAGCAGGGACACCTCACACTAGAACATGTTGTCCTGTCCAACCTGGCCTGGAAATATACTTTTTTTTTTTAATATATATATAAAAAATGTGTGCATATATATATAAAATGTATAATAGGTATATATACTATATATTATATAAAATATAATATATACATAATATATAAATGTGGTAGGCAAGACAACTTGTGTCAACTTTTAGGACAGAAGTCTGATACTTCCAGTGTAAATCTGTTTTCATTGTACTTATAATAACATTACCAAAATTAGACAAATCAGCATAAGATACGTCTAAAATGACTTTTTTTTATTGTTATTATTTCTGCCTTGTTTTTTTTACTTTTTTCTAATGTTCTTTAAACTTTAGATTTAAAAAATAGCCCATTATTTTCCTTACCCCTCCTCCATTGATTTTTACCTAGTTATTGACTGAAAAAACGGGGCAGGGAGCACACACCAGGCTTGTGTGTTCATGTCGACCTGTGTTGCTAAACAGATGTTGTTGCCTTACATTCCAGATGGAGCTTGTTTAGGCCATGTGACTTCATTCTAGATATCCCAACTTGTACCTCTTACTAACTTTCAGAAAGCTCAAAACCCTGAGCTCTTCAATGCCAAGCCAAGTAGGACTTCATCCCTATGTATATATCAGTTTCATAGTATTAGAAATATGAAGAGATGGGGAAACAAAGCATGAAAAGAAAACTATTTTACAGTAAATCCTGAAACTTAAAGCAGTCCTTTCTTCAGTGATATTGATATGTCTGTAGTTAAACTTTTGTAGCTAAAGAAAGTAAAAATACACAGGACTAACCATAAGTACTATTAAACCTGACAGCAGTTCAAGAAACACTCTTCCCCATGCATATACACGTACTCGTTTCTTACCTTGGGGTTTCTCATGTGTGTGGTATGTCCATAGATGTGACCAGATCTTCCCTGGAGATAGTCTGTTAGCTGTTCCAAGGAATGCACACACACACCAGCAAAGTTCACATGGATCAGGCTGGAAAACAGTAGGATCCAGATGTAAAACATAGAAGAGAACAGGCCACATCTATACATACCTTTCAGTCAATAAAAATGCAGCCTATGGATGCAGCTGGAAATTGGACTGCACTAATTAAGAAACACTAATCTCTTTATGATACAAAGCAAAGTTCTGTACAGTGTTGCTAAATGCTATGTATGCCATACATTTTTATTTCTGGAAAAAGGACTAATCCCAATGAGCAAGTCCTATCACCAGATAATGGATGGATGCTCTGAGATAGTCTTGGAAGAGACATGAAAGAAGAAATGCACCACATACAGTGATATAGGAAGAGGCACAATAGGAGAATGTGGATCAGACTTAGGGAGGCCTTTATCTGAGGAACTAACAAACAGAAGCTGCACTCGATAACAACGTACAGCTGGATAAAATGCATGGAAAAAATCACCATGAGCTTCCACAAGATAGGATGGACAGACAATGGTGTGTTGTAGCTGCGGGATAGTGTTAAGCAGTTTCAGTAAGCTGCGTGTGTTATAGTTCCTGGGCCAGATTCTGGCCCCTTTGTGCTAGCTCTCAGGAGTGCCCTACAAAAGCCAGGGGATTTTCCTTCAAAAAAGGAGCATTGCCAGGTGGCCGAGTGCCAGGATGAGTCACTCTGCACTACCCATTCCTTACAGGAAGACAGAAGTTCCTGAGTAGGAAAGGATGAGGCAGGAGTGCACATAAATCCAGCTGCCCTAGACCCAGAGGACAGGTCTTGCCTTGGTAGCCCTGTTTGGGATTTTTGCTCTCTGAAAGCCTGGGAAAACTGGGCCAGCTCTTTCCATTCCTCTCACTGACAGAACATATCTGTATTTCTTGACCTTGGGGCACAGGGGAAAAAATAAGGCTCAGGGCCGTGAAAGAAGCTATGCTGATTCATTCTAACAGGCACAGAGAAAGGGGCCTGTTTCAGTGGCTTTCTGAAACATGAAACAAACAGAATAATAGAATTCAACCTCATGTAGTGAACAGCAGTTTAGAGAAAAGCCATGTTTGCAGTAGTGAGGGGTCCAACATTAGAAAACCTACTCTTACTTTGGGCCATGGATCTATGCTCCCTGCACATGACAGAAGGCATTCATAGATGTCCTGTTTGCTTGCTTGACCACTCTAAATGTGCAAAGGAAAAGGCCTTCTTCTTCATCTAACCCACCATTAAACTGGGTGACTCCTGCAGGAAGGAAAAAGCATAAGCAGTGAAAGAAGGAATCAGGTGAACTCCAGGTTGCTAATGTCAGGATTAGCAAGGGGACTATAACCTACATGCAATGTCCAGCTCTGGAAATGGTTTGCCAGAAGCTCAGTAGCAGTGAGTGGTCACTGTGTGTAGATATATCCACATGTGTCAGAAGGAAAACTGGCAAGGATAAGCCCTCCCAACCTACCTGCCTTGCACAGCATACACTTTACTGGCATTACGAGGTGAGTTAAAGCACTGGGTTAAAAGGATCTTCAACTTCACTCACTCTAGCACTTGCTATGTTGTAATACCAGCCTAGCTGGGTTTCTTAATGCTGGATCCTCAGACGTTCACCAATTTAGAGGGAATCACCAAACTGAACAAGTATGAGAGGAGAACCTCACCACCATTTCGCCTTCTCCAACAAATTCATGACGTCATTTTAAATATATTTCACCAAACATTTTGAGCCAAAACATCTTTTTTTTTTTTTCTTTAAGGGTAAGAGATACCAGCAACAGAGGGAAAATGACATTTCTTTATCAGCCGTGGTATGTATAATGTGACATTCAAACACAAGTGCTACTCAATAGCTTTTAAGTCACAGAAGGTGACTGGAAACACATTCCTCTTTTGTAAAACAAAAAAGAAAAAGAAGAAAAAGAAATGTGACAGACAATCCTCAGCAGAAAGATCCACTTTGACTTAAAAAATATAGGGTAAGAAGTGTTAGAAATTTACAAGCACAAAGCCCATCTATTAAGATTCTGAACAAATAGTAAGTCTAGCTAGAAAGATGTGTTCCCATTAACGTATGGCTAGTTATGTCAAGGACAGTAAATGAAGCTGCCTTTCGTATATCAGATTGACCCATCTAAATCAGGGCAAGCTATGCCATCAAAAATGCATTTTCATCATGTGTTACAGATCAAATAATAACAAATACAGAAGAACAATTAATAAACAGTAACTCCCCACTCCACCCGTAGCTGTTTAACTCACACATACTGCCTCTGTGCTATGCAGCTCCAAAGAGTGCTGGAGTAAACAAGTTGTGCATATAAAGCTACAGACCTGCAGAGAAGCCAAAGAAAGAGAAAAGGATATTTATAGTTTTTAAGAACTGCTTGGGTTGAAAAACTATTCCCACACAACTGTCATAAAGCAACTGCAGCTACTGCGTGAGACCGTGCTCCTACCACCTGCAAATGAAAGTCAGGCGAAGTCAGCTGAGGAATAATGTAACATGAGTGTAAATAACTGAGTGAAATGGTGGATTCATCTTCTACATCCTTCAAATGAAAACAAGATGCCTTTCTGGCTGATCAGTTGTAGCCAAACACCAAATTGTATGGCTTCATAAAAAAAGTGACTAGATGAAATTAAATGGTTTCCTCTGATATTACAATGCACAAATTTTAGGTCAGTGTTCAGTAAAGTGTTCAGGAATTTACTCACAGAACTCTGGCTGTATTTGCACTCCAGAGGATGTCCCAAAAGATACCTTTTCTTGAGCTTAAATCTGTTTGGGATGTAGGAAATCCAAAACCCAGCATAGAAGTCCCTGAAGAAGTTAGGTATATTCCAAACATTCATTACTCACATTGGTGATGGCGCCTTCTTCTTGCCAAATAGTCTGGTGCTTGCAGCATTTATCTAGCTGTGAAGTCAGAATATTAGGGGTCACTTTAGGCTGAGGCTTTTGGACTTCAAATCTTATGAGAGTGCACAGACCATGAAGTTACAGAAGATTTTGTAACTGCTATGCATCCAGGAATGGAACAATCATGGGGCCAGAAACATCTCATGGTCATCTGGTGGTGAAGCTAGGAGGGGAAAGGTTTAGGATTCTCATCTTTTCCTTTGGAAAAGTTTCTGAAGTCAATAATTAGCTACCATAAATCACAATCTCACCCCCACAGGAGTGACTTTACCTGTGCACCACAATGTCTGACTCCATGTACGTTCAGCTCTCAGGTGACTGGCAGTCTCGTTCCAGCAAGAGAGATGCAAAATGTTGGGGTATTTTCCTCTGAAAATCTCACAACTTGGTGTGACCCCAAATCCCACCTGGCCTGAGAAGGCTGGAACCATCCTTCCTCTTCACATGCAAGTGCCATAGACATTGGATTTGTGTGAAAAAGTGATGCTTCCTCTTATCTTCTCTAAGAGAACAGCGTTATTTATCTGCAAAAAGACTGAAGTCCTCATTTACAGAGGTATCTGGCTGTGCTTCTGAATTTGATATCATTGTTCTAGACAAACTAATTTGTACCAGCTGGCAGAGGTGTCTCCGAAGTTAAATTGCCCTGTCTAGAATCCTAACTCTCCCTCCTACTCTGCTTTTGGACCCTAAGTACTGAACTCAGCTCTGCCATCACTCCTGGGACTGACCACTTTACTCTTTATATGAAGATCTCCGTACCTTACTACAATTAGAGCTGTAATTCCTCAGTGAGAAGAAATACACTCAAACTGACCAGCTGTATGACCAATGTGAAAAAACTCAGCAACATCCTGTTACCTGGTTTGGCTTCTTCAACCTCAATTTGAGTATAACTGATAAGAATCCTCCACAGTCTCAAATAAAACACAAGGTTTTCCCACATCTCAATAAAGTATGCCCTTGCAAGAGAGCTGTCATGCCATGGTACCAGCTGCCTGACAACAAAATGTAGGCTAGGTCAGGAGTAATAGTAAATATACCCAGAAATTCCATAAGTCCATACAGACTCTTAAGCATACATTTAAACGTTTCTTTGGGTTACAGCTTTAATTACACATTTCGTAACTACAAAAAGGGCCCATTTAAAATATATTTAGAAAAGAAATGTTAAGTATGCATTCTCTTTGCCCACAGACACTGTAGAAGGCTGTTTAAATTAATAGCTCAGAAAAAGACGTATATAATGCCTACTGTAACAAGCCAACCCAAAGGTTAAATACAAGAGAAAAGAGACTTAAAGTAGATTAACATTCACACTGAGACCCATAGTAGTGCTGATTGCCACAGCTTCAATAAAATTCCACAGTCCTGTTCTAGTTTGCATCAGACAACAGTCTTGTCCATAACAGAAGATACTTCCCTGTGTGCTTCAGACAAATGCATTGTATACTTAAATGGAGGTGTCTAAAAGGCATATTATGAAAAGACAAATTAGCTTTGCATTCTGGCAGTCTCTGAGATAATGTTTCTGATGAGATCTGTTGAGAAAATTAAAGTGCAATGTTACTATTCCCAGCAAATCATTTCTCTATTGAGCCAGAGCTTACTTTCTAGGAGCTGGTTTGCTGGATTCCTAATGTGGTTTACCCTTGTTTACACTTGCCAGTGGAAATCTGGGTTGCAAAAACCAACTGGAAAATTAGTATCATCTATCTTGGTGTTTAATAAGCATCACAAGCAGCAAATGCAGCTGTGCCCATTGAAGGCGGTGAAGCACTGAATATAAGCTGCTGCAGCTAATACAATGCCTACCTATGGCACAGGTCATAGTGTAAAGCACCATCAGTGCTAGACCGTGGCTTTGTGTCACCAAAGTCCAAGACTAAGGTTTTGTCTGGCTAAGCTGAAGAGTGAACTTGTTCACTTGACAGGTTTGCAGACTTGCAAGTGATCATTATTAGTGTTTGTGTACCCTCACATAGGCATTTCTAATCAAGCTGCACAAAGGGAGTATCAATTTCAGGGGTGAAACAAAGGTAAACTGAGAGCACGAGTGAACTGACAGCAAATACATCCATAAAGCATTATCAAAATGTATAGATTCATTTTATGTTAATGTAAAATAAAAATAAATATATTTCATATTACATAAACCCATTAATGGAAAATGCAGCTTTTGAAATGTTGACACTGTTTCCATATTTCTCCTTTTTATTTTTTTTGCTGCTAAATACCCACACCATTTGTCCCCTGAGAAAACACATCTTGGACATCACTGATTGCATTGTACTTACTAGCAAAAAAGATAAATGTTACTGTGGAGAATGAAAACCCAAACCTTAGACTGAATATTCCTGCTCTGGTAAACTTCCGGAGCTTTTCCATAAAATGAAGCTTTCAGGTTGTCATTTACTTCATTTTGAAGTAAAGTGTTTCCTACACTGAAAACATCTTTTTAGTGGCAAAAAAATAAAAAAAATATACAAAAACTAAATCTGTTTTCCTTAAAAGGTTCTTATATGGTCATGATGAATACAAAAATGCAACAGTACAAATGTAATAAGCAATGATCAGCTCATCTCCATGCCATCTGCCCACACCAGGGTTGTGTCATCTTCCTTTCCTCACAGTGAAGAAATTGAGACACAGGAAAAGTAATGCTAAGGTTTTCCAAAATTCCTGGTAATTTGTAACATTTTGGAGTTTAAATGTGCAGCAAATGGCACATATTATTCATCAGAATTCCCACAAGAAGTTAGAATCCGGATCTCCTGAACTTGAATCCGGTGCCTTCAACTGAACACATCAGTACGGATTCTTCCCTTCCCCGTGGGGCTGCAGTACTGACTGGGCTTTAGAGCAGACTCAAGTCTCCTCTAAATTTCACTATGGACTCAGGAAAGCTACCAGTTATAGCAGGCAGTGGAATACACAAATAGGTGCACCTTCACCCCATTTGTGATGGACATCTTACACTGTCGCGCAAAACAAGATGAAATGTCTAAAGGAGTTTTAGAATCCCAGAATCCCAGACTGGTTTGGGTTGGAAGGGACCTTAAGATCATCCAGTTCCAACCCCCTGCCACTGGAGCAGTTTGTTCCAAGCCCCTGTGCCCAACCTGGCCTTGAATACTGCGAGGGATGGGGCAGCCACAGCTTCTCTGGGCACCCTGTGGCAGCGCCTCAGCACCCTCACAGGGAAGAGCTTCTGCCTTAGATCTAACCTGAACTTGCCCTGTTTCAGTTTGAACCCATCACCCCTTGTCCTGTCCCTGCAGCCCCTTACGAGTGCATTTCTTAATGACAACATACCAAAATGATTTTGGAACAGCACATTGTGCTGATTCATTCTTCAGATGCTGTTTTCAGATATTCTTCTAAGCAGTGCATTCTGTCAGCATTATGAATGTGGCCAATTTGAGCTTCATGTAACAGTTTTAAAAGTCTTGCAAAGACTTAATAAATTTTGCAAATATTTAGAAAGAGAATTAATGTAATATATGTAAAGATCTGCACATATTTGATAATCTTGAACCAATTTAATAAATCCTGTCCAGTTTTAATAAACATCGGATTAGGGTTAAACTTATTACAAACAATAAATGAATAATGAAAATATTTAAAGTGGAGTGTATATACAGTACTTTTTAAATGTTGTTTTTTTAAAGATCAGGAAAATACCTGCAAGCCATGGTACAGCTTTAAAAACTTTGTTATACAGGAAAATATACACACAACCCATACTGTTAGCAACATGACTACTTCTAACACACTAGAAAAGCATGATTTTGCTTACCCTCACAGAAACAAAGCCTTCTTAGAATCACAAATGTATTACAAGAATCCAGAACAAACATGGTCATAATCTGGGTGAAGAAAGGGAAAAAAAACCCAAAACACTGAATGTGTGAATGTATGAATTAGAATAATAGTCATAGAATGATTTGGATTGGAAAGGACTTTAAGATCATCCAGTACCAATACCCTGCCATGGGCAGGGACACCTCCCAGTACAGCAGGTTGCCCAAGGCTCTGTCCAACCTGGCCTTGAACACTGCCAGGGATGGAGCATTTACCACTTCTTTGGGAAACAGAATTAACAGAAGAAAGTGCAACTAGAAGCATGTGCTTAAATCTACCTCTGTTTACATGTATAGACACTTCTCAAGGGCAACACACCTGACATTATTAATTTGTAGTGAAGCCCAGCACATTGCATAACCTTGTGTAGGGCCATCCCCAGCTTCTCCATAATGTTCACCCTGGGGTACCTATTTTTCCAATCAAAGAAGGAAATGCTGCTGTTGGAAAAATTGCACCATTACATTTGTCCCAGAAAAGCACCAGTTTCAACAGAAATTTAATTGTGGAAGATTTCCTACACCCCCAGTGGAATGATTTGTTAGTGTAAGAGAAAGCCATGAAAATCCCATATTACCTTCCCTTTTAGAACTGTTTTCTGGGACATCTGAGCCAAGAATGCTCTGTTATGGGCCTGTATTTCTGGGAGGTCCTTAAGAAAGAAAAAGAAGGGAGGATCTGGGTGAAACTCAAAAGGATGCTTTTGGCAATAAGGAGTATAACATCATAACTCAAAAAAGAAGTAAAATACAAGGTAAGTATCAAGAGAAAATGTAAGAATATAACAAATGTAAAAACCATCAAAATACAGATCTAAAGGATTTGGATGTTAGGATATGTCAGGGCTGGAGACACCAAAACAGGTGTTTTGAGGGATACCTGCCAGTGTGGAAAGGTAAAACACCAAACAAGACACTGAAAGTATCCTACTGACACCTTAAGAGGGCTCTTATTCACCTCTTCCCCCCCCCCAAATAATGTATTTACTATAGAGTGTGAAATACTATCCCTGCTCTAATGAGACACATGCCCACTGCATAGAGGACAGAAATGATGAGTTTCATGTCATACCAGGACAGCTTCAGGGTGAAGTCCATGCTAGTCTTGCAATTTGATTTCCATTTTACACTTCCATAGATAAGTTTTTGTGTGTTTGGAAACCAAGGTCTGTTTCAGTAAATATATCTTATTGTAAAACACTATCTGCAGAAATGGTGTATCCTATGAGCGGTGATTTGATTCTTTAAGATGTTCAGGAGGGTATCAGCAAACTCAGTCACTGCTTCAGCTGTTTTTCACAGTGGAAGCTGTCCTTGAGGTAGCGTGAATGAGCTGGCAGCTAGTTGGAACTGAGAACTAACCATCTATCATTAAATAATTATAGGAACCAAACTGGGGAAATCACAGTGTTTCTGTAAACAGAAAATCAGGATACATTATTCTCTGGGCTCTTCTAGTAACTAAATGATTAAATAATATCATGCATGTAAAAGTTGGGTGGAACTAAATATTCACCTTAATTAGGCAGAAAGATAGAGCAATATTGTTTCTGCCTATCTAATTTTCCATTGGTTAATGTTCTTCATTTTTATGGCAGAACTAAGTATCTGAAACAATTCATTATGAATCTTGGTTTATGAAAGCTAAGAATTAGTCTGAGGAATATACGGCAGAGTAAGTGAAAAAACGTCTATTAGAGAAATGAAGAGGAAGACTATTACTAACTTGAAATTGCTGTAAATGAGCCTTTTATTGCCTGAGATTCGAAAGCCCACCAACCATAGCATCTCAATGCAGACAGAGCCAACAAAGTTTGCAAAAATCTTCCATTGCCTTTCTCCAACAGTGATTTTCAGGTTGTTCACAGGCTTCCTTAGTCTCACTAAACTGGCATTCTGACAGAGTTGTTTCAAGCACTTAAGCCTGCAGTAAAATTATATTTAATTTAACAATCCCTCAGCAGACCTTTAGAATAGATTCTGTTGTTATATCCTGCAGTGCAATAGCCCTTGTCCAACTTCAGGTATGAAGCAGCAAGAACTGAATTTTAACCTGGCTGCTAATCTGAGCACCAGCATCACTGTAGGGAGGGTCTTTGCATCAGTATAGCTAAGTTTGCCTTTCATGCTGCTATAGATCAGTGCCTAATAAAATCTTTCCTGAGTAAATACTGACAATGAGAGGAAGTCCTGAACGGATTGTTATAATCCATCAGCTACAACTCTCTGCAGGACAAGCACCCATTCCCCACACTTTCCTTTAAACACTTCAGCCCTTCCCATACAAATGACCTAGAACAGTACAACAGCATTTTGCTTGGCAGGAAGAGGGTTAACTCCATGCTGCACCTTGATCACCAGCAGGTATCAAACATTGTCAGCAAAGGAGATATCCTCCAAACAGGAAGAGACAAAGCACTGCTGAGATTCCCCCATCAAATACAATAGAACATGAAAGTATGGCTCAGTTTTAGCTCTGGCACCCAATAACAAGTCAGAACCCTGAGGGCACTGTCTTACTCAGAGATGTGAAATGCAAATGAACAGTAACATTGACAACCCAAGACCAAGCAAAAAACAAAGGACTTGAAAGCTACCTGGAAAGGTCTTGCATGAACATACAGCTTTTTTTGTTTTCACTTTCTGTGGGGCAGAAACGTAGTCATTTATGTGGAGAAGTTAGATGGGTAATTTTAGTGATCACTGCGGTCCCTGAGAATATTTCAGCAGAAAGGAAACCTTGAGATAGTAGTGTACAGAAATCCTTTAACAGTGAAAGTCACAAGGAGCTCGGAAAAACAAGTTCAACATAAAAAGTTGTGGTGTGTGAAACAGAATGGATGAATTCACTTTCCCAAAGCTCAGTCACAGGACTTGCCAAAATATTT